CTCTGTTTTGTGGAGCTATTTAAAAAAAAAACATAATTTTCTTTATACACTGTTTTTACTTCAAAAATGCAAAAAGAAACAAAACAACAGGCTTTTGTACATACGACAGTGGGTTTTTTAAGCAGCTGTGCATTATAGCATTTACCGAGGCTATTAAACACGTGGTGAATATTTCCACCCAGAGCTTCTGGATTAGCTGCAAAACAGGCGACTCATTTCACATGACTCTATGTTTTTCAGGAAATTCCTGTGTACTATAACTTTAACAACAAGCAGACTCTTCCATCATCCAAGGCAGGAACCACTACTGGAATGTAACTTACATGGAAGCTCGTAAACCCGAAAAAAACTAACACTTACACTACATAAAATAGAAAAGTACTGCAAATTAAGTCTGCATGCTTCATTAGGATTACAGTGCGGTGTCTAAATTAACAATAAAAGTAAAAAAAACACAAAACAAAACTAACAATAAACAACAACTTTTTACTAGAGATAAAAAAGTGTGTAAAAAAGTGTGTACAACAGTAAGTGTTGGGAGGTTGAAGGGAAAAAAACAACCCCACTTAACAAACATACAGCTCATATAAATACAACACAAAGACTTGAATTTGGTTTGACAGATAGACACAGTTTTTTGCAGCAAAACATTTTAGAATAACAGGAGCAGCAGTGTGTGTTATTAAAAACCCAATAAAAACACTTGTAAAAATGACAATTACTATTTGTCTCGCGGCCCAGAAGACGTTTAGCCAAAGGGCTAACGTAGCGTCTGCATGAGTCTGCCATGACGACCGCATTAGCTGTTGTTGGTGAACTAAGATTTACGTCAGATCTAAACTTAGTTCACATAGAAACCTGGAATTTCTTTATTTTTTTTCCCTCAATTTTGTGTTTATTGGTTTTTCTTCATAGGAGTTTGTGATAAGAATCTTCTCAGTAGCACCAAATATTTTGCACATTGCAGTATCTGCTGTAGATCTGTTTTTTTTATTTTTTATTTGATTATCACTTGTCTAAGGGCCAGATGCTGCGCTTGTGATAATGCAATCAAAAGTGAGCATCATTTGAGTGGATTTCGACAAAGCCGGTGATGACACCTGTGCTCTGCAATCATTACTGATGGCAGTCGTGCATGTTTATGCCTGTGAGGGTGTTGTGATGGTTGAGCTGCTGTTCTTTGTCAAAAAATTCTAACAACGCAGGAGTGTTTGTTTGGATCACACCATCTGTCAGTGGTGAAGGCAGAAGCAGCGTCCTTCCTGCTTAGCCATGAGCCCAGACTGTTCATAAGGTCATCCAGATATAATCCAAAAAAAAAAAAAAAGACTTCTGATTGATATGTGCTCAGAAAGTCCACAGCTGTCAACAATCAGGGCTTTGTTGGCCTTTTTCACGTGCTTAAGCGTTAAATTAGTTAATCCATATGGAGATTTGACTCTACTTCTACAAAGGCAGCCACTGTTAGTTTGCTCCTGTGTCCTTGTACTGAGAGTTCCTGTTACTATGTGGTGGAAATGTGGCTAAAATCCATATTTTTGGTTGGAAAAACCAACCACGCTTTTGGTATATAAACCTTTTGAGGGGTTGTTGTAGTGTGGACAATATTACTAACTCCAGAGGGGGTTACGGACTCTTGGGAAACCGCAGTGAAATGGATAGTGTATCTCTGTGGCGAGCACATGATGTTCGGTGCAACATGAAAGGGAATCGTAAGGAGCAATAACTCATCTTTGCAGCGTCCCGCATGGCCCTCATGTCTTTGACATATCACAAGAAGAGTGATGATGATTGCCTAATGGCCCAACTGTAAAGCCCTGCAGACTCGCAAATGGCACTCCTCACTTACATGAACTAGAGACATGCACGCACACACACACAGAGAGAAGCAAATTTTTTTTTAAAAAAACTAAGCAAACACACACTTTTGGGGTTTTTTTTTGTAATTTTTGAGAACTTCACCCATTCCCTAGCCTTTTACCACATTTGTCAAACTTAAGGAGCGTGGTCCGAATGTGGCACGTCAAGTCATTTTGTGTGGCCAGTGGGAGCTTAAAAAGCATTTAACTGCCTTATGTTATAAGTTTATGCTTTAGAGTTATATTGAACAGAAATTACAACTATGCATGTCATGATGATGAAAGATCTTTGAGCAGAGATATACTCGAGTTCTACACAGAGGTGTCTGTCTGTTGTCTGATTTTTGTAATTTACTTGAAAAGTTTGAGAGCTTGATTTGAATATGAGTTTTTCTTAACTTGATCATTTAAAATGTTTTTTATTAAACAGAGCAAGTCTTCCAGTTACAACCGGCGCTTTGAGTGCAAACGTTTTGCTGATGTGGTCCCCGGTGGCCATGAGTTTGACACTTACCCTTATCCAATACAAATGTAGAGTATACCTAAATTTAATCTTTACCCGAACGCTAATCTGACCCTGATTCTTATTCTAACTCCATTAAACTCCATTTCTAACCTCAAAATACTATTGTTCTCAGTGCAATGCGCAAAATGTCCCAATGACTACACTATTTTTGTCCCCACAAATATAGCTATTCCAGGAACACACACAGTTGCTTACACTTAAACCCAGGCTTATCTACTACTTCAAAACAAAGCCTCTGAGGTAAGGGGTTAGCAATTAAAGCCAGTCACACAGCATTAGGTGTATGCATCACTGCATCCACACAAAGTTAACCCGTGCATGTGTCCTGCACCCACACCCAGCTAATGACTGAGAACCTCATTTTGATAGAAACACAGCCAGTAGTAGGAAGAAGAGCCACACAGATTTAATTGCCTTACTAGTACATTTTCCAAAAACGTATAGAAAAGTACTGCTTTCTGCTTAAAGAATTGTATTTTCTACAAATAAGTTCCTGCATTTCCTGTTTGCATATTAGAGTTACATGTTTCCACATGCAGATGCATGTATATTGATACTAAATTGGAGGTCTCCAGGTCAAAGGAAAATGTACTGAGAACACCTTCGTCATGGTCGCCATCCAATGCTAACAAGTTGCAAAGCTCCTTTAAAACCCAGTCTATTTCCTTTTTTTTTTGTCATGAAGTAGAACTACATATTAAATGCATCATTTCAAAGTATTTTTAATTACAAGTTTTGATTCTAAATACAAAGGGTTTTACAAAAATCTAAAAAGATATTATTAAAGTTATGATATTTTCTTGTTTTTTGTCAGATTTCAAGCATTTGCTCAACAAATTTCCAGCTCTGAAATCATTTTTCACAATGCAGTGTTGGCAGGAAATGGAAGCAAGTACTGAATTTTTAAAGCCAAACTTTGCCCACGAAATGAAATATTAACAACAAACAAATATAAGGTCTAAAGAACAGATGGATAATGGGAATATTCCAGTAGTAACCAAAGGTTACTAAAATGTATCCAAAATACAAGATTATGGTTCAGAGGATTGCAGAAATATATACAGGACATAGTTCTATGAATATCAGCAGTATCTGATTAAACTGCAGTGTCTTTCAGAGCATGAAATCCTCTTTTGTCATCATAGGGAATTGTTTTCTATTTGTATTGTAATGACATTTTGAAAAAGAAAACAGCAGTTCTTTTCAAATAATCAAATATTTTCATCAATCCACTTAGACTTTGGATTTGAGTTGAAAATGCTACAATTCCCCCTGTAATCATATAATTAGATAAGGGTTTCTTTGAACATGCATGTTCTTCTTCTTTTTTTTAATTATCAATTATTTTCTATGTTCAGCTGAAAGCACAAAGCCACAGAAGCCATATTGTGAAATAGGAATGCAACGCTGACCTGCAGTTCTGGTAAAAGTCTCTAAAACGTGTCTGTTCTGATTCTCCACTGACACTTTAGGTCGGATGATTGGAATTTACTCTTATCTTGAATGTGGACTGTCATAAACTCATGTCTAAGACTGTCTTGGACTGTTCCAAGCTTTATGGAAAATCCTCCCCCCAAAAATAGTCTAAAACTATACTGTTTGTTTGAACAACTTGCTCACTGTCTTTGAAAAGAACTGCCTGTTTATTCTTACTCCATTTTGAGAGCAAACATTTCTCCCACTCGTGCAGACCAAACAGACCACTCTCACAGTAGAGGTTGTTTGTTTCTAGACTGAAATAATAAATCACAGGCAACACACTGGACCAAAAGTCAAGAAGTGGATGGTCCTGCAGTACCGGCCACAGCACTCAAGCTTTAACAGTGGTGAACCATCAAGGTCTTCCCTGCTGTCCCTACAGTATCAGTCATGGACTTGTTTATCAACATATTTATCATGAATATTTAATACAGAGTACTCTATTCTCATCAGTCATTCCTGTTAATATAATCCAGACAATGGTATTGTTTAGCTAATTTGAAGACACTGATTAATAATGAATATTGTATAATATTGGAGTGATGAAAATTCTATTAGATGCTGCTGCGTGCTAATTGCTTGTCCTAATCACCAGCACTACTTCTGTTATTACCACTGCAGGCTGGGGGTCTCTTTTCTCATACTTTGCTTGCCAACTATGGTTTATTTTACCATTCAAATATATTAACACTTTGGAATTTCCTGCAGGGATCAAAAATGCAACAAAGCAGAGTGTGAGAGTGGTGAGGGAGAGTGTTACCACACATTCTTCATACAAGGAGAGCAGCATACACAGGAATGCTAACCTTGTCATTGTGTTAATAATGTCCCCACCAAACAGCTTGTTTTCACACAAAATGTGACTACTCAACGGTTTTTAATTATGAAGCAATACAGCCATCCAACTCCTTAGTTACAACATTAAGTAAAGTAAAATCACCTCTCTCCAAACTTACTGGTGTTACTGGTATTACATAAGGTGTGAAATATTTGTAAATGTTGTATTTACTTAAACAAATAAACAATAAATACTAACAATAATGTTGATATATTGGTAGAATGATAAATAATGCAATAAACCAATTTATTATTGAAATAAAAGAGTAAACTTGAACATTCGTTCATTTAAAAAACTCAGTTTGGACGTCAACTTGCGCAGTTGGTAGGATAGTTACGGTACCGGCTTTCAGCGCACTTTCTCTCGGTTAGAGTGATGCATTCAAGACACAAATAATTTTTGTTTTTTCTGTGCGACACAAAACAGAAAATACATTTTGACATTTTGACAAAATCGACTAAGAACACACAAAAGTATTACAATTCAGGACACAGTCAATTGAACGTTGATACCTAAATTATTGTGTGTTATTGTTTTACAATAAGTTTAATTTCCCCTTTGATTTAAAACATTTTGCATTTTACAAACATTTGGATGAAAATCATTTGAACCTTTGGAAAGTTAATAAAAGTTGTTTTCTAACTTAAATGTGAAGTTGACTCCCCTCTCTTCCAAAGTAAAACAAAAAACTTTTCTAAAACTCAGTGTGGGAGTTACGAGCCGCACCCAAAGGCACCAAGAGTGTGGGTCAATCAGTAGAGTTGAGACAGCGAGCCAGAAGAGTTTGAAGAGTTACGGGGAGAGTGCACGTGAACTCCGTGAGCTGCGTCCTCCACCAATGACCAGCTGAAAACGCCCCACAACTGCGACTTAGATCTGCGGGGGTGGGGAACACTTACAAGTTTTGTACTGGACTTTTTTCCCCTCAGAACCATGGGATACGAGCTCGACCGCTTCAAGGGGACCGTGGACCCGGATTTTAAGTGCAACTTGTGCAACAAAGTGCTGGAGGACCCGCTGACAACTCCGTGTGGCCACGTCTTTTGCTCAGGCTGCGTGCTGCCCTGGGTCGTCCAACAGAGCAGCTGCCCCGTCAAATGTCAGCGTATCTCCACCAAGGAGCTGAACCACGTACTGCCCCTGAAGAACCTTATTCTAAAGTTGGACATCAAATGTGACAACCACGCACGGGGCTGCGACGCCGTGGTCAAGCTGCAGCATCTGGCCGAACACGCCGAGATGTGCGAGTACTCCCCGGCCAAGTGCCGAAACAGGGGATGCAGCGAGGTTCTCAGTCTGCGGGACATGGATGCACATGTGCGGGAGACGTGCGAGTACAGACCGGTGGGGATTTGCGAGAGCGGCTGCGGGCTGATGCTCAGCCACAAAGAGCTGAAGACCAACGGCCACTGCTGTGTCAGAGCCCTGAAGGCGCACAACAGCGCGCTGCACTACAAGATGCTGAGCCTGGACAGAGAGCTGAAGAAACAGACCATCAAAGCCAACAAGAGGGAGAAGTCGCTGCTGGCGCAACTTACAGCCGTGCACGGAGAGCTGCAGATGACGGCGCAGAAATATCAGAAGAAATTCACCGAGTACAGCGAGAGGATCGACTCCCTCACCAAGACCGTGGCGTCCTCCTGCAAGGTAAATGTTTTGTTTGTTTGTTTGTTTTTTCTGGTGGTGCTCATGTCACTTTTTGAAGCCACGTGTGTGGATACAATTTCAACCATTAAAAAAGTACGTAGTATTTACCTTTTTTTAAGTCTTTCTTTATCTTTGCTTCTGGTTTTCTTACCAAGGTTGCAGTGCGAGACTTTCTGGACATTTATTTTCGACATACAACTCATCCTTCGTGTTTGTACAACAGGCCAAACAACAAAATATTTCCTTCAGGAAAACAGTTTTCAATTTGCAAATATTAACAATAGGTCTTATTTGAGAAATTGAGGGATGAACTGAGGGGTCATAATTTGCTGTCACTAGATGTCACTAATTCTTACACCAAGAACCCTTTAACGTTAGGTATCTTAGGTATCTCTGCTGGCTGTATTGTCGCTACAATGTGGCAATTCCTGGGCTAACATTACCCGATCCCTTGTTTATTTAAAACTATTGGAAGTGGATCATTTAGTGATGCTACAAAACAAACAAAGAAAACTGGACACCCTTTGGCCGATAATCCTATCTGTTGATGAGTCAACATGCAAGTTGTCAAGATCTTTTCTGGTTTGTTAAAACACTGACCCTTTTTATGCTTTAAAGTTGTTCCACTTTCCTTGGTTTCCGTTATTCTGAGCCTTTGTGATGATATTTAAAATGATCACAAAAAGAAAACGAGCGTTTTTCTCTTTCTTTTCTGTTTATTCTGTCTTGTTGCAACACAACTTCTCAGGAACCACAGTGTAATTCCTTACTGTCTGCTTCCAGACACGAATGTCAGCTGTGCCACTGGCCAGCTGGCAGTCATTGGGGGAGGGCCAAATATTTACTGCAGTTCTGTACACAACAAGAGCCAGTTTCCACTTGTACCATAATGTCCATCTTGGAGCGTGCTTGTTCAAGGATCTCCGTCGTCGCAAATTCTCCCTTTTTATTATGGGATAGTCATAACAATAATGTGGATGTGGCAGTAACAACAAGAGTGTTTCAACGTTGTTTTCTAAGGCCTGAGAAACCAGTGTAGTGACAACTAAAAACATCTGAAAACACAAATGGACAGTAGACAGGTTATTATGGTAAATGTTGTTTACCACTTTATATTTTAGCAATATTTATTATTGCTAATATGTAATATTTAACCCCTTTTAGACACAGTATATTGACAAATTGAGGCATGGAGATCGTTCAAAGTTGGGTTCAGAATCCTGTGCTCTAGTGGCTCTATTGTCTTTAGAATAGATAATCTGATGCTCGTTAAGGTCTATAATCTATAATCTTTTCCAAAATCAAAATAACATAAGGGCAATATATAAAAATATATAAATGACAATGACGAATAAAGTTGTTTAATTTAATTTCTGACCCAGGACTTTCCAAATGAATAACTGTCTGTTTTCAAGGCTAAAGCAAATACAATACCTGTATTTGCTTAAGTTATAAAGCTGAAAGACACACATTTGAAGGCGGTAGAATCAATACTTTGTTCCGTGAAGTTACATGTAAACAAACACAGATCCAACAGGAGTCACATCACATGTTAAAATTACCGCATATGTTGTCCTGATCTGTTAAGGTGTTGCCAGAGAATTATGTCAACGGTAAGATCCAAATATTTCTGTTGATTAAAAATGAACAGGTTGTCGTTATTTTTTTGGTATTTTTTAAGGATGTTTATAGACACAAGGCCCTTAATGAGTTGTGTAATCTGTCACCGTCATCGTTCAGAAACTTAACAAACCTCTGAAATCTACATGGGTAATAGAGGGCTTTTCTCAGGTTAAAATATAGGAGGTTGTTACATGACATGATTAAAATGGTTAAGGATCCAGAGAGTCACAAATCAGTGTGACTGGACTTGGCATATGGCTGCATTTCTGATGTGATCAGTGCATGGGGAGTGGTCAGGCTGTAATCGGGCTTGGATTTAAAAGCTGTCCAAGAACAGTGGGAGGGGAGGCTTTCAATGTGACTGCTGATCACACCAATCAAATACTGTTTGCTGACAGAGAGAATGAGTTTCCCACAGAGTTGTGTCATAAACCTAAAAATAAAAAGTATTAGAATGAAGAAAGAATTGTAATGTTACACTCCTTTCATTTTCACTCGTTTCCATTCCAGTATTTTTACCAGTGAAGACATTTACACACACATACACACACAAGTAGAATTCTAAGCATCCTCTCATTAAGCAGTTGACATTTTCGCCTTGATTTTATTTCTTAATTATAAGGTCCTGTTCCCAGCTAAATGGGTTGAGCTAGACTGGTAATCGAGCAACACAGATAAAAATATGGTAAAAGTTGGAGGTTTGACGAGTCCAAGCACAGCTGCTTATCACAGTCCATTTGGTCAAACCTTTTCATTTCTTACCTTGGCATGGAGAGCTGCATTATCAACAGGGAGTATACACGTTCACATGCGTTTTGCCATTAAAAACCAGCCTAATATAGTGTGCATGACAAAGGGTTGGAGATTTAGATACAACGTCTTTGGAAGATGAGATTACAAGCTTTTTTTTTCATCTTCACCGTCCAGACAGATGGTTGATGGGATTGTTTGTTGGCAAATTTCAAAAGCACACATGAAGGCATTAAATGGATCTTTTCCAGTCAGATTAACTGCGGTGATAGGAACATGCTGACTGCCACTGAAACTTTCTCAGAGCCTGAGACTGGAATTATCCTCCACCCTGGATCTGTAGGGTGTTCCCCACATGTGTCAGCTCCATGGATACACTGTCAGTGACTTATGCCTACACAGAGTAACCTTTGGGTCATGGCTTCAACAAATGTGTGAGGACCAGTGACACGTTCCGACATCTTTATACATTTCAGTTGTCTGAGAAGTTTGAAGCTGTGGAGAACCAACATACAAAGTTCATTACAGTGTTATCTGGAATATCAGAAACACCCTGTTTTCACTAGCAAACATGACCACGTGTCTTTAATGAAATGAGTAGAAAATTGGCCAATGGAGTAGGCCTGAAACGATAAATGAAAATAAAGTAGTAAATTTGCCGACCTCGATAAATTGCCATGTGCATGCGTGTTTGTTTTCCTTGGATGACAAGACAGTTCCTTCTGTGCATCTGTCTCTGGGTGTGTTTGTACCAAAGCACAATAACATGAGTCGGGTGGACACTCTTTTCGGTCATTCACTCTTTGGGGGGGAGGCGCTACAGTACCCTCAGAGATGGCATCAACACGGACGGGCCAGTAAGCCGAATTTGTTTGAAGAAGTGTTGAACTGAAGAAAACGAAGATAAGTTTGTGGGAAATTTTGCTGAAAAACAGTTGACATTATGTTTGGGCTGTCAAGTGAACTCGTAGTCACGAACTTGTAGTCCGCAAAAATTATTAATTGGCAAGTCACACTTACAAAAAAATTGAATTGAACCATAAAAAGCAATAACTTTGTCTAACTGACTTGTACGTAAAGATACCACTGGTAGACGTTCTTGTACTGAAACACTAGGCTGACATTGGCTTCAGTAGACATTAACTTCAGTAGACAAATTGCCATCACAGCCGACATGAGCTCTTGATTTACTGCTGTCTCTACAAATTAATTCACCAGTCCTATTATGTGGCTTCACTTTGGAAATTGTAAGTTCAGATTTTCCTAAGTGAGACAAATTAACCGTGTGAGTCATAAGCAGTTGACCAAAAGATCACATTTCTCCACAGGCTAAAACCAATGATTATCGGCACACAATGGGCCTTGTTGTGGGAGAGTGAGCAGTGAACGGACTTGTCAGTCTCCCAGATGAAAATGGCTTTGTTACACTGTGATAAGTTGTCACACAAGAAAATCCCAGCAACATACTCTTTATACGATTAGTCTCCTTCCCTGCATATCTGCAGCCATGTTTTCAGTAACTTTTGTTTCATGTTATTATTCAGAGATGGAGTTGCTATGAAAGAAAAGAGGAAGATCGCAGAGGAGGTTTTGTGGATGTTGTGAAAGGGGACATGGATGGTTGAAGTAAAAGCATAAGATAGGGTGAGATGGAGGCAGATGGTCCGTTGTGGCGCCCCCTGCAGGGAGCAACTGAAAGAAGAAGAATTCAGCAGAGCAGACACACCCTTAATAATGTGTTAGGGACCAAAATAAAACTCTTAATTTTTTAATCAGCTGTGACTCAGAAGGAATATAAACAAGAACTACAGGCAGTTCATAACACAGTATTACCTCACCATAATAACTCTGGCACGTAGCATCAGTCTAATGATATCAATGTGTGAAATCCCAGTCATTAATCAAGTCCTTTAGAAGGTTGACACATTCTGCCAACTCCAACTTTGGTTTAAATGGGTTAAATTTACGACGTATTGCGCTCCTCACGCACATTAAGCTGAGGTTTTACAGTTTTTAATTGCTTTTGGTTAAACAGTGAGCAGAAAGCCTTAAACAAAATGCAAATGACGCGTTTCTTCCAATGAAAACGTCTGCGACGAGGTAGATCTAACGCAGACTTGCTGTGACACAGTTGTTCCTCGAGCCACTGTCAAAGAAGGAACAGAAACCGTCATTTCATGCAACATTTGACAGGTAACCTACTTTAGTTTGCTCTGTGAATCTGTGTCACTCCTCGACTTGTGCTTGTGCTGCCAGATACACATATTTTAATGTCTGAGAAGACGTTGAAGTAAGACAGAGACCTCAGGAGAGATCAGTGTGATTCTGGCTACGTGGAAGAACTGACTGAAGTTTCCAATAATAGTGGGTTCAGCACTAAAATGTCTCCTGTAAGAAAGAACTGAGCAATAAACAAAAGCCAAAACAGAAAGCTCAGATCTCCCTCTGGTTTTGCTCTTGGCTTCAGATATTGCTGTCGGGCTTTCTTTTTTTTTTTTTTTTTTTTTTTGTTAATGTGTTTTTTAAACTGGGCTACTGTTTAGCTGCTACAAATGACTGTGTTAATGCCGGTTGATATAATAAAGAGAATGGATTAAAATCACAAGACATCAGACAGACGGAGGCTCCATTAAATTTGATGAAGGATTTAACCTGTGGGCTGTTATTAAAGTAATCACCTTGAGTTAATTTAAAGTAATCTGAAAGATACTAATACCGATCGATCACTGCTATCATTAACATATGTGACCGGTTAAATAGGTTTAAATGAATTACCACCTCCCTGTTGCACAAGGTAATAATCATTGAAAACACATTAAAATATTATAAAGCTGTTTCCATTGTCTTTAATGGTGACACGAAGGTGATTCTTCTTCACTATGTTTACTGTCTTTATATTGATTTGCCCATTAACTTGTCTCTCAGTTTTCTGAACCGTTTTAAGTTATGTCCTTTTTAACTCACACAGTGAATCTGAAAGGTCGGGACTTTTTTGCCTTAGATGACCAGGCTGTTGAGTTTCTTACAAAGTCCAACCTTAGATGACCAGGCTGTTGAGTTTCTTGATGTTGAGTTTCTAGATGTTGAATCAATATTTCCTTTTGTCATTTTTCATTAAAGGCTCTTAAGCTATAATTAGACACAGTATGCCAAGGAGGAGGCAGTGAAGGCAGTTTGGAGGGCAGACGTGTCGGAAAGTGTGACTGGCGCTTAGGTGAACTCTCATGGAGTCAGTGAGCAGCAGAAATGTCTTTTCTGTTTCTTTTTACATCAGAAGCATCAATTTTAAAATACAGATGTTTGTCAGGTTTTTGATTTGCTGATTTTTTTATGGTGTGTTGTTTTGTAAATGGAACCAAAGTCTCAGATCCTTTTACTTTTTTTGTTTGGAACTGATAAAAATAAAACCTCTCAAAAGGCCAACCTTCTTTCTGTCTGCAGTAACACTGTAATTTAGAAGCATGTGTCAAAAATGTGGCCATGACAAGGCGAGGGAGTGAACAGCTTGGCCTGTGACGCATGTGTTGGGCAGTTTGAGTCTCTATGGCACTCAGGCCACTGTACATGCCGATAATTTCTGTTTTATATTTAGCCCGGCCGTGCCAGAATACACTGCAGCGTCATCTGAAATTAGGTTAACCTATAACTCCCCCCTAAACACTGCTGAGAAAAACCAGATTAACTGCTGACTCCACTACTAATCAAGACGTCTTCATGACCTGTTGTTACTCAGTAAGAGGTTCGACGCGAACTTCAACTGCCTTTATCATGAACATTATCTAAGATAAGGATATTTTCATGTGGGAAGACTGTGATATTGCATCATCAGCATGTGTGAAATCAAACTGTAAACCAACATTAAAAAGCAATAAAAACATTTATTTAAATAAATGTTAGTTGGTCAGATTTAACACCAGTATCAGACAGAAAGCTTCTTTTAAAAATTATTTTTGTCATGTGAAAAAAAGTGATGTAATTTGAGTCTGGAAGTGCTTGTAATGACAGACTTAACAGCAACCAATGCATTCCTCCCCTCCTGGTCTGCTCTCTAATCAAATCAATACACTGTTTGAAGCAGAGTAAGAGCAGAGCTGCACACTGGGAGGATGGTTGTGTTCACTCTGGTGACATCATGTCTGAATCACCTGTTAGAAAAACCCTAACATATGCCCGGGGCATCATGTTGTGACGTGGCAGATCTAGTTGGTGACGACCATTAGTCTGTGAAGAGAATTTTAAAATGATTAAGCTGTCTTTGGATCCCAATTGCAGGGCTGTGTCAACACTTGAACTAATTAGGCAGTCTCTCTGGCTGCTTTTTAATTTAGCAAAAATAATAAGTACAGGGAAATTGAACCAATTGAACTAATAGATATCTTAAAACCAAACAAATTGCTTAAATTAGTTCCCTGACTTTCAGTTTAAGGCAAGTTATGAGCTATGACTCAGGGCTGGACGAGTTTATGATAGGGACCAAAATGAAACAGCAGCAGTGGGGGACACTTTGTTGTCCATAGGGAGTGGGGTGAGTTTTGGTGTTTGCTGGTCATACAGTCTGTGCTGCACACATACTAATTTTACCAAATGTCACTGAGTTATTTACAGTTATTTACATTACAGTTATTTACAGTTATTTACATTTTTAAATACAAAGTAGATCAAACAGATGGGGAGAACCCACTGGAGGAGTAAAAGGGAATTGAAGTAATTTCTAAAATACAAATTGACTGAGATCCAGTCTTGGTACAAAGGACGTGGTATCTTTATGGCTGCTTTATGGCTCTGACTTTTCAGGTTTATGCCAAGGCAAAATAAAGAGAAGTGACCCTGTGAGTTGGATGAGTTTTGGGATGTGTTCAAGGGGGAATTCTATTAAGGTGAAAAAAAGGTAAAATTATGTCTGTGTAGGTTCTCAGTCATCCAGGTCATTTAATCCAAAAATAGTTACATCGAGGGCAACTGGACTGAAGTAGGTTTTTTGAAGACGTTTCTCTGAAGAAGCCTCTTGGATGAGAGGTGAAACGTCTTAAAAAAAAACTACTTTGTCCAGTTGCCCTTGATGTAACTATTTTTGGGTAAAATTATGTCATAGGTTTTAATCCCAGCCTTTCAATAGAGTTATCATTGTCTTTTCTAACTGTCTGTCTGTGCTCTGACCTCTTTAATTTAAAAACAGTCAAAGTGAGAATCTTTCTGAATCTAACTAGTCATATGTGCAGGTAATGAACATTTACACAGTTATGAATGAAGATATACCATTCTATATTTCATCTCTTTAGTTGCACCTTCCCATCACTGACTGCTGGGACATCATTTACCTTTTGCCGCTCCGTCAACTTGCTCCACTTGTAATTTTGTGCGGCCGTCCTTCAGATATCTCCTTACAATTATATTTTTTCTCCATTCTTTTAACCCTGTCTTTTTGTAGCATACCTGTAGTAAATTATAGACAGGCAGATAGCAGTTGTTCATTATTCTATGTTATTTTGTTAACGTCTCCTCTCTCTGTCTCTTGTACAGGAAAGTGAGACTAGAAGAGAGACAGTTGTCCTACTTCGTGAGGGCGGATCGCTGGGTTTTAACATCATGGGAGGAAGGCCGTCCGTGGTAAGTCAACATTCTGAGTGTCTCTCACTGAACAGCGATCAGTGTTACCTCACTGGGAACAGAGGGGAAGGATTAGGCCATTTTTAAAGCACCACTCTGTGTTGACAGTCACAGCTAAAGAGAGACGTGCAAGTGTTTTCTACTGTGTAGATAGATGTGCTGCATCGACCCACTTTTATTGTGTTTATATATTGGTCTGCTTTAGTGGGTATGTTACGACAGATTAAAAAAACTGTAATTAGTTTTACGAGAGTTAAATCTGGGCTTTTGGCTTTGACCGCAGCTGTTTTGTCTGTAATTGAGGGGAATTTGGTGGTGAGGTAAACACAGAGAAGAGGAAAGGGTCTTTGAACCTATCACAGCCGCCATGTTTCCTGCCTCAAGGACCTGAAGTGAAAGTTATGAATGATGCCACTTGCTTTGCTGAGTGAAGGGTTTAAAATACCTCAGCAGTGGTTGCAACTCTGTCCTCCAAACGCGGATCCTCTTTCTGCCGTGAAATGGTGTTACCCTGTCTATCTGTTTGGCTGGACTTAACTGCTCCAGGGCAAGTTTTTCCACAGCCACTGTGATGGATTTTACTGCAGTGTTGAGCTAGATCACTCTCCAGTTCATAATAAAAATGCATTTTTGTTCTACAGCCATCTCTAAGATCTTAAATTGCCACCTGTGTTGCTAATGTGACAGAACCAGTTCATCCAACTCAACCACAAGATTAAAAAGATAATGCTCCTCACAAACCTCAAATCAGTGTTAAAGAAGCTATTCATTAAAATGGAAATAGTTAATATAATAAAATCAGTAGCAGTGAATGTGTTGGTTATTGAACAAAAATAAATCAACCGCAGGGTTTGGTTCACTCTTAAGTATTCTGACGGCACATGTCTGAACTGAAAATGTATGTATACAACAATGTAATGTGTAGAACAATAAAGAGTACCAGGCTACTGCTAATGTAAATTTAGTATTTCTTGCACAAGTAACCAAATACTTGAATTAGTTTAGACTTTGTGGCTAAAAACTATAATTTGTTCCACAGGATAATAATGACAGCACTTCAAACGAAGGGATCTACGTGTCCAAGATCATTGAGAATGGTCCAGCAGACAAGGAGGAAAGCCTTCAGATTCATGACAGAATAATAGAGGTATGTTGCCCTTTTCTGTCAGTTTTTTATAGCAGTAAACAGTAGCATGTGGCGGTGCAACGTGGGTTATGTGAAAGCTGATTTCTGTCTTTTTAGTATGTGGAAAGTGAGAAAAAATTCTGTTGCAGCCTTGTTAGGACAAATGTTCACATTTCAAATTTCCTTTATTTTAAGTTACGGAGGGCAAAAATTTTCTGTCAGTTTTTTATAGCAGTAAAGTTTAAGTTACGGAGGGCAAAACCTGCAGGTAGCTTTAATTTAAGATATTATTCTGCAAATCAACAGGCAAAGGCTTTGTCAACCATTGCTGTAGGTGAACCTGAGGCCAAATCAAACCTGGTTTGAAAAGGTCAATTTAGCCTGCAGTCAACTTGGTGCATACATTGAAAAGTTCTTTTCTTTCTTTTAACAAACAGTTGTCAGCCAGAATCTCACACAACGGCTACATAAACAGAAAGGTTCAAGTGGATTATGACCATGTTTTACAGTGTGCCACAGGTTGACAACTATGGTCACAACCTTCATTGTCAGACTAAAGTAAAATCGCCCTGGGGTTTCGTTACCATTATATTTTTACACAGATATTCAGGGTCTGCTCTTACATGTTAAGTAGTGTAGTAGATGCAACAGGTCCACTGAGTCTCAGCTGGACCGATCTTCAATCTTAATCATGTACCTGAGTAATCTGAGTGAAAATTAAGGATAAACAACTAAATGTTGTGTTATTAACTGAGACTGAGGCCTCGAGGATGCCACGTAGATGTCATTCATTACATCTTTTAGCAAACCAATCAAAATTGACCAGATAATGTTTTTTAAGTCAGACATTATGAACCAGCATTTTGCCTAAATTGTAGTATTTTTGGGCCAAAGGATTCTCCAAATGGGACACTGAACTTAACCATCAGGTTTTATAAGCGTGCGTGCAATGCAAGCACAAAGACAGTTGGCGAGGCGTGTTAATGGACCAGATGTTGCCGTATTTGGTTACTTGTGAAGTATCTTTTAAGGATATCTTTAGGATTTAGTGTTAAAGATAACTACTCACAGCCATTTGTTGCCCTTCAAAACAACCCAACCAGTTTGCTTCAGGAGAATTCTGCACTGTTGTGAATGAAGTAATGAAATCTTACCAGTGAGCGTCAGGGATGAGAGGAGCCTGAAGACGCAACAAAGCACCCTATGAAGTGGCCGTGAGAGGGATTACAAAACCTTACCAAATAAATCATTTGGCCAGTAAAACAGAAATGTATAGAATTTACAGAGTCAGTGTTCCACATTTGGTGTTTTCACTGGGTGGGAAACCTGATAGGGAGGTTGGTTCAAATTTCGAAGGGCTTTGTTGGTTTAGCAGTTCTTTCAAGAAACAGCTCAGTGTTGTGCTGTGTTTAAGGTGACAGCATAAAATGTAACATCATAGTCACGTTCTATAATGTTACATTGAGCTCTGCTGACACAGATGATGGATGATTGAGGAATGAATTCGGGTTTACATTTTTCTTTTTTTTTATCAAAGAACTGAATACCATGCAGCTTAAGGCAGATTCATACTTATGTTTCCAATTTGTAGAGTGAAACCAATAACCTTTTTATGAAACCTATTGGTCTTGGTTTGTGGCAAGTCTTCAAATTATGTTTTAAAATACAACTCTTCGACTTACAAAGTATTTAAGATGCTTTTGAAGAAACCACTGAAACTGAAACACAAGTACAGTTTCTTTGTTTTAAAGTAAAATGTTGGTGCTCTTTAGATACAAGGTGTTGGGTTTGTTTTGATTGGCTTGAGGAGTCTTTGGAAGGACACTTTTATATAGAAATCTCACAGTCCATTCTAAGTCTTACAGTTAAACCTTAAAGTCATCAAGCCAACCCAAAGATTTATTACGCACATTTTCTTTCCTGGACAAACAAACCCTTTTGACTTTTGGTTTTGTTCCTGTTTATTTTAGCAACCTACTTATTATAAAGGTATTAATCACTGAACCGTTTTTTTTTTTTAAATGCCTGCAATGTGATGTTTGATAAGTACAAGATGGTGTTTCAGTGAAGCAAATACAAAATGTAGAATTATTATTTCATCTTTTCTTTTGCATCATTTGATGTCATACTTCAAATGAGCTGGAGGACATAAACAAAACAAAATATGATTACAAATAAATACAGGATAGATTTAAGGCACATCTCGAGAAGTGTGATCAAGAGGTCATAAATGAAATAGTTTCAAGAAACGAATTCAAATGTTTGTGACTCATTGGAAAATTCCATTTCCAAAGTTTTTGTAAGCAGATGTGACAAATACTGTGTAATACTAACATTTAAAGTAAGCATACTGTAATCATTGTCATACCAACTGCATACCAATTTATCATCTAATTAACAGCTGATGTTAACCTAGCTCTCATGACATCGTAAGCCAGGCATCAGAAGTATTCTGTACTTACTGGTGATCTCACTCATAGTTTCTTCGGAGAGCTGCATCCAAATCTATACTCTCAGCACTTTTGACATTATTATGGCAGCGCAAGCAACTTTGATTAAGTCTTGATTAGGATAAGTTGACAGGTCAAGGCTTCATCCTAACTTCATCCAATCATTTTATCATATTGCATGCAGTAGCCGTCTGATGAATGTTATTTTCAGCTCAGTGAAGGTGAGTACAAGGAATAATACAATGCTGCTGATGATGAGATGCTTCATTAGGGGAATTTATATCACATGAAGAACACAGAAACTAGATGGAGATCTTAGACTAAGCTACAGAGCTGTTTTCTTCTCCTGCAGTGGAGGCATTAATTCCAGTAGGTCTGTATGGATGTAACATGTAGATGATGATCCACAGCTAGTCCTTCTATAACAGGCTCTTAGCAAGAGAGTGTGAAAAGCAGATGGCCGTCCTCTAACTGAGCTACAGACGGCTTTAATTTAGCACATGAATGCACCCTTGTTCATCCAGACATTTTTTTTCCACATAGAAACCTCAGACTATGTTTGCTTTTACTCTGCCTGCATAAAAGTCCTCAGGTCATAATCTGCCCACTTCAGTTTGATAAATAAGTCCTGCTTTATCTTAAATGTGCGCATGACTTATGTGAAGCACCTTTGCTGAAGTCATAGGTAGATGTTTTATTACTTAGTGCTGTTTGTTAATGCAAACAACTACACTGTTTTGTGTATTTCACACATATGTTAATTTTTCTGGGTTACATATTTATTGGCTGACGAAAACTTTATTTGATCGTATAGTGCACTAGTGAAGCTAATGTCGCTAATGATAATGTAAAACAGTTGTAAACTGCTGAGTCCTTTTATCTCTATTTGCTGAAATAAGTCTTCAGCCTCTTTGCTTGTGAAATGAGACTAATCTGATGTTGCAATTTCGGAATGACCATTGCTCTGGGATGTTGAGTGTGAAAATAGGAAGAGATTGGAGACGACTGGGCTGCTGTTGTAAATGTCGCCTTGTAAATCTTCAGCAAACATTCTTGGGTCGCAAAGGGCAACAACAACAAGGACTCCTAAATAAACTCACACTGGGACAGGCCAGTCTGAATATGGAGAAGGGGGTTGTTGTTATTGAGACCCACAGATGTAATCAATTGAAGAAAATATATCTCTACTGTCTTCACTGTGTATATTAACAGTTAGACTACGAGAATGTAACAGGACTCACATTTTATGTGTAGCAGGATTTTTTTTTTTTTTTTTTGGACAAATGAGTCACCAGCTGGCAGTTGTATCTGTTCATTTAACCTGGTTGAAATAAATAAAACATTGCTTGATTATCTCCAAAAGGAGCAGGAAGGATGTGGTGGTAAACAGCTAAGGGTCACAATCCAATCAGACTGAAATGCAAATGGGTCTCCTCCAAATATAGCAGCTTTGTTGGCTGTAAGTATTTGAAGAAAAACTGTAGTCCAGAGACTTTGCTTCGATTCTGTTCCCTTGTATCTTTTTTTCCTATTTGAATCTTCAAAAAAAAAAACACTTAACACACTTGTACACATTCTTTGATGCCACATATTTGTAGTTTCTTCCATGTCATTAGCCTCTTGAGTTGTGAGGTTACCCACAGTGAACCACTAAACACCTCAATACCTCCTCGCTGTTACTTAAGTATCAAATCACCAGGTCAAAGACAACTTAAAAGGCAGCCAGATAGCACTTAGCAGTAACTGACAGACGTGAAGTGGGCTCTGTTGGAAGTGGGAACTGAGTGTCCTAGTTAATGAGCTTTTATTGCTCTTAGGTGTCAGTGTCTCCATTCAAGATGAAAAAGACTAATTTATTAGATGAATTCTGTGAGAAAGGGGAAATTACACAAGTAATGACAAAATGTAATTTAGGGGCCCAGTGCATGGGACTGAAGGGCTGCATGGACAGAGATAGCTTCAAACAAACGTACCTACATCTTACATAACAGCACTAAATTGTTTATTTACAATTGCAATTGATTCCTCAGGCTGGAATAACTTAGCAAATGGTGTCCTGTGCAACACATGTGCTAAAACATCCCCAGGTGTTATTTCTGACTCGGAAGACAATTGGGAACAGTCACCTTATTAGGGACGCTCACATGTTGTTTGGCATTTTTGAGGCAAAAAGTGTTTTTCAGGTCCTTTATTAGATTTAAGTTATACGCAGGCAGTGTGTTTTTCCTCTGCTAGAATGACTCCAACCCACACTCAGCAGGCCAATCCTTGCAGTGAGCAACATTCCTGTACCCCGTGGTCCGGCCGAGGCTGGTGCGAGGCTGGAGCGTCCTTAATCAGCTTGTGTCGTTCACCGCTGCCATTCCCACAGCTTGTTTTAAGAAGTAAGGACAAGCAGATCTTTGTTTTGCAGTGTTCCTTATGTGGGAGAGAAAAAAAAAAAGTTGTGGAGTTGTCTCAGTTGAGAGATGGTGTGAGGTGACTTGACTTAAGTGCTGCTCCTGTGAAAATCTGTCTTTGTCTCTGTCCGTTACCACACAGAAAATATTGTTTGTTCTGTTTCATTTAAAC